TTTTTTTTTTTTTTAGTAATGGGGATTGAACCCACCAGCACTTGGTTTTGTGTATGCCAAACAGACACTGTACATCCACATCTCCAGCCCACTAATGCTCTTTCAATATCTTTATTCCTTAAAAATAGTCAAACATTGTCCAAAAAGAAATATGCTTTTTACTTGAGTTATGTAACTATAACCGCCTGTATATCATCATTATAATAACAACAAAATAGTATACTTTTTATATAATAAAAATATACTTAATCTAAACTGTGTCAAAATGAAAGTATTTCTAGAATCATACAATTGAATAGTTTGAAACCTTATTATAAATTACTTTTTCTTTCTTTTTTTTTTTTTGTCAGTCCTTGGGCTTGAACTCTGGGCCTAGGCACTGTCCCTCAGCTCTTCAGCTCAAGGCCTAGCACTCTACCACTTGAGCCACAGCACCACTTTAGGCTTTTTCTGTTTATTTTGGTGCTGAGGCATTGAACCCAGGGCCTCATGCATCCAAGGCAAGCACTCTACCACTGAGTCACTTTCCCAGCCCCTCCTCTTTTTTTTTTTTTTTTAAGTGGAGAAAGTGTCCTGGTGCTTTTGTTCTCAAATAACATGAAAAGTTTTTCCCCCTCTCCCTCCCCCTCCCCCTCCCCCTTCCCCTCTTCCTCTTCCTCCTCCTCTTTCACCTTCTCTTCATCCTCCTCTTCTTCCTCCTTCTTCTTTTTGGTGGTTGTATGGGGTTTGAAGTCCGAGCCATGTACTTGCTAAGCTTTATCACTTGATCCATGCCCTCAAACATGCAAAGTTTTACATGTAATTTTAAGGGAGTCATGGACCATCTGAAGAAGATGTATTGAACGCCTACTGGGCCCCTAAGTCCATCATATTTTAAAGTTGGATTGGGTCCCACACAAGTGTGAGTCTTAGCTGAACTTTGAACATGATTTTTTTCTCCTGTGCCACTCCCACCATTGCTTATTCAGCTTCAACAGGGTTACCTTAATACTTGATTTCTCTGAAGGTCAGTTTTTCACCTTTCTACATGGTCATTAGTTACGTTTTTTTTAAGCAACAGTTGGACTTTATATTTATCACACATAATTCTAAGCTTTAAAACAGTACTTTGTGGTAAGTATAACTGTTCTAAAACTTAGAATTATGTGTGATAAATATAAAGCTTTTAGAGACAGCACTTATGAATTTCTAGATAGATTGCCGAGTATAATATTAAACTCTCACTCCTGGTCATTGTACAACATGTAGCCAGAAAAAATATAATTTAGGATCTCCAAAAACAAAATGTTGATCACTGCTCAGACTTGTACAATCCATCATGCTCTGGAAGTCATTCTTCCTGAGATTATAAATGAATCCCTATTCACTAAACCCAGTGGTTTTTAAGTCACTCTGCTTAACTTCCCTATGACATTTGACTTATTGACTGCTGCCTACTTTATAAAATGTACATCTTTTTTTGGGGGGTGGGGGGAGCTGGGAAGATGGCTCAGTGGTAGAGCGCTTGCCTTGCATGCATGAGGCCCTGGGTTTGATTTTCCAGCACCACATAAGCAAAAAGAAAAAAAGCCGGAAGTGGTGCTGTGGCTCAAGGTGGTAGAGCACTAGTCTTGAGCTGAAGAGCTGAGGGACAGCGCCCAGGCCCAGAGTTCAGGCCCCACGACCGGACCCCCCCCCCAAAAAATGTACATCTTTTTTATTAATAAGATTTTTTTATTGTGAAAATACTGTACTTGAACAAAGTAATGAGTACATTTCTTATCAAGCATTGTTCCCTCCTCTTTTGTTTCCCCTCACCATATCCCCCCACGCCAAAAAATGTACATCTTTTTATGGTTTCCTTGACATTACTCCTCTGACCACATCTCAGCCTTCCTTGACCCATCCTCCTCATTAGGCTCACACCTGCATGTTTCCTTGGCCTCCTTTCTGTTTCACAATATGTTCTCTCCCTCAGCACATTTACCAGACTTAATTACCACTTCAGCGTGTGTAGATCTCTAGTCTTTAGTTTTAATCTCTCTGTCTAGAACTCTGGATTTGCATATTTTACTTGAATACTGCATGTCCCAAAAAAATCCCAAAATATCCAACAATGCCCAAATCTGCTCTCTACTTGGATTCCTTATTTCATTTTTTTCCCTTTTTCCCCCCCTTATTTTATGGTGGTACCATTACTCAGTCATCAGTCATGTCTCCTCTCCTTCTGTTGTTTCCATGACTGGCTTGAGTTGTTGTATCAACTGTCACATAATGTAGTGCTTAGAGCAAGGACTCAGGTAGATTGCTGAGTTCAAATCTAGGTCCGCCACTTATTAGGTGGGTGTTCTTGTGCAAGATGCGTACCCTCTGTTTCTGAGTTTACTCAGCTCTAAATGAAGATATCACCTGGTCTTGTGAGGATTAAATAAATTCACATTTGCAAAACTCTTAAACTACTACAAGCACATAGTAATTGTTTGTTGATAAATTACTCTTGGGTTTGTTTCTGCTCCAGCCCATTCTTCACACTTTGACAGAGGATTCTGAGGGGCTGTCAGTTATTGAGTGATAAACCAGGGACTAGATATCATGCTAAATAATTTATAGGTAGAGTCTTCTTCACTCTTAAAATAATCTGTGAGGGAGGGAGATGTTTTATTCCCTATTTGAGAGTTAAAGAAATGAGCCTTAAGAGCTAATGTACTTTGACCAAGGTCACACAGCTTGTAAATGCCAGAGTTGATGTTTAATTCAGGTCTGTCTATTTCTGGAATGTTCAAAAGTTGAAAGCTACACTATATGTACTGTTTTCTCACCCGAGTTAGTCACTTACCACTTACACTTCTTCAAAGACTCTATGTTGTTATGATCAAGCCTTTCCATCTTAGTTTCATTTTCTGACATCTCTTCTTGTGGCCTGCCCTTTCCTCCTGTCTTTCCCTCTTTTCTTTCCTTTGTTCAATATCTAATGAATGTGTGAATTCCAGGTTCTGTGCTAAGGTTAGAACATTAGAGAATGAGCAAGTTGTTTTCTAGAAACTGATAGTCTAATACAAATGATTAATATCTACATTGATTAAGAGAGAGTTTTACTGAGCAGTAGACATGTTGCTGTGTAGAAAGAATATTCTCTTCAGATAATGTCTTTCTACAACAATCCTGACATCTTTCTTTTTTTGCTAAGACTAGATTTCAAAGTCACCTTCTCTGTGACAACATCCTTTACTTTCTGGTCAGCTGGGTGATTGTTTTCTTATACAAACCTTAATTACAATATGTACCACACTGTAGTCTAGCTATTGGCCTATCTGTTCATCATTTTGACTAAACTGTGATTTCCTCCAAGAAAAAGCAATTTTATGTATTTTTGCACTATCCTTCATTTCCAAGTGGCATGACTGGAATATTATAGAGCTCAATAGTGTTTTGTTAAATGAAGATTTATTTGCCTATTCACAAAAGGAAGTCTGAGCAGGAGTCCCCTCTGGCTCAGAGCAAAAATATTCAGATAATCCTTTATAGTAACTGGCATGATGTTCTTCAGAGAGAAGGTGTTCAATAAATACCATGATGTCAGTGAAATACCTGAAAGATTGCTGGGAATAAGGAAATTTTTTATTAAATCAATGTATGTGGATCTGGCAAGAAAAACACTAAGAATTATTGGTCTGAGGGCTAATATTGAGGATTTCCTTTTTCTCTGGTCTGGGCCATAATTCCAGAATCTTGTACACAATTAAAGCATGGAGGATTGTGCTGTGAGAGCACTGTACCATTGGTCTACTAGGGTTGCTACCAAGTGTAGCCCCTCTGTTTTGCTGTGTCTTTCTCCTGGCAATTATATACCTCCAGAAGAAGGGAAATTTTATGGTAAGCAGAGAGGTACAAGTCCTGTCTTCCTCCTCCTTTTTTCTTTCTTTGATTATGATTACCCTTCCAGAAGAGCTCAAAGCTTTGAACAACAAAAACAGAAAGACTTAGACCTATTTTCTATCCTGCCTCGTCTCTCTTCGGAGAAAACAAATGCAGAATCCCTACTGGAATGAGTTTAAGGGAGAAGGATGAGGGTGTGTGTGTGGGGGGGGGCAAATACATGGAAGAGGTGGGGGAGGAAGAGGAGACAACAGCAAAGATTGATACTGTCCCAAGCACCATACTTGCTTAGTGAATAAAGGAGTCTAGAACACTGCGTGGTACAGGGACAGCAAGTGCTCAGTAAATGTCAGCTATTATATCATCCAGGGCTCCTCCACCCAGGGCGGTACCTGGGATTCTGTCTCAAATAATGTTCTCTAGGTCAGTCCCCAACGCCCACACGGTATGGTGTGAGTGATCTCTTCATGTTCTCCAGGAATAGTTCAGCCTGGGTGGATGCTGGGACCATTTCTGGTTTCACTGGAAGTCAAGGTATTACTACATTACTTTTTCCTCTCACAGAGCTCAGTTGGTATTGTCAGTCTTGGTTTTGATTGAAGTTACTGGCCTTTCCGGTAGTCCTAAGAGCCGATTATTACCTTGAAATTCAGAAACAGCATGCACTTTTTGGCACTGACTTTTTAAATTAAGTTTAACAAGCATTTATCGAGAAACTAGAGCGTGCGAAACACAGTTCCTTTAAATATATGTGGCTCTTAACGATCTTAACTACTCAAGTCGGATGAACGCGGATCCATTCTCACAGATTTTACGAAGACTACATATTAATGGGAAACACTTTTTGCACAGTTCTCTGCAAATAGAAGCGTCTTGTGTGGACTACTACTGCTACAGTATTAATTACAATAACAACTCCGCAGCTTCCCCAGGCCGGCGGTGGAGAGCAGCTGGAGGCCGACCAGGAGTCAGACGCAAGAGGTCAGGGGAGGCGCTTCCAGCACGTCCGGCCCCAAGGGGGCGGAGAACTAAGACCTGCACCCAAGCCCCGCCCTCCACCCTGCCCCCTCGCCGGTGCGGCGTAGGCGGTTACCATGGTGATGACGTCTAGGGGCGGGCGCGGGGCGGAGCTGTGGAGAGGAGGAGGAAGATGGCGGGAGGGCGACTCTGAGGAGACCTCGGCGGCGGCGGAGGAGGAGAGAAGCGCAGCGCCGCGCCGCGCCGGGGCCCATGTGGGGAGGAGTCGGAGTCGCTGTTGCCGCCGCCGCCGCCTGTAGCTGCTGGACTCGGGTGGGAGTGAGGGGGACCCGGCAGGATGAAGTTCGCCGAGCACCTCTCCGCGCACATCACTCCCGAGTGGAGGAAGCAATACATCCAGTATGAGGTATACCGGCGGCGGCCGGGGCGCGGGGCGACTCGCTCGCCGGGGCTCTACCCTCCCACCGGTCCCGACCTCCGCCGCCTTCCCTTCCCGCTGCCTTCGGCGGCCGGGCGGACTTTGTCCCCCCGTCCCCGGGGAGCCACTGCGGCATCCCCGCGGCCGCGGCCGGCCCCCACCGGCCGGGCCGTCCTTCCCCTCCCCCGCAGCCCGCTGCCGCCGGGGTAACGGATATGCGGGCGGCGGCGGAGGAAGGGCACCGCCGGCGCCGGGGCCGGGGCCCGGACCGGACCGGACCGGGGTTCTGGCGTGGAGGTCGGGGCCGCAGGCGTGGGAGTCGGGTGCAGCCTAGGGTCGCGGCAGCTCCCGGTTAATCCTCGCAGCTCACCCTAACCCCTCTTCCCCACCCCGGGCGAGCGCCCCCTCGCCAAGGTTAGGTCTTGTTTCTCTCTGCTCACCTCTCGTCTGGGGTGCCTGCTCTTCTGAGCTAAGTCTCCCCGGTGATTTTTTTTTTTTTTCTCTTTCCATCCAACCCTTGGGCTTTGCCTCACTTGTCCACTGTTGACAAAGACTGTAACAGAATTTGAAACTTGACTTAAATGTCTTATCACTGATGCCCAGGTTCTAGTTTGCAAATGTCTTGTAATCAACGATTCTGGTTAGATTAGACGGTGACTTTTTTTTTTTTTTTTTAACTGATTACATGAGGTATACAGAGTAAACACAAAATCTTTGGGTTAGGCTCTCCAGTTTTTTGAATCAAAGAAGAGGAAGGAGACAAGAGAATTACTTGAAATTTCAGGTTGTTTTTTTCTCTTCTTCTAAGTTTTTGTTAGCGAGGGAGAAATCACTACATTGTAAACACGGAACTACCTTACCTGTGTATTACAGAAATCATGCTCTCCCTTCCATTCCAGTTTCTGTAGCAACAGCTCCTGGAGGATATTTTCTAGTGATAAGGATCCTCACATCAATTCAGGGTAAAGTAAAGATAATGCACCATTTATGTATTTGGAAAGTAAGATACTTGAAGGTCTTCAAGCATTGCAATAGGCTCTTCTCAATAGCTAGCAGCAATTCAGCTTCTGGATAGAGAAAGACTGTAACCTCCAGGAATTCATGTCTACCTTCTGTGCAGTAACAAAGAGTATAAAATCAATATGAGTGCACACACACACTAGTTAGATTTTTAGGAATTAAACTATATTAATTCTCTTATTTCTAAGTTTAGTGATAGGATGTTTAGGAAAAAACAGTGAGTTCATTTATACATGTAGTTGATTTAATAATTGAGGGATAAAGATGTGAGTAGGTAAAACAGAATCTTGAGATTGTCAGACAAATATACTTAATAAGATACAGTATTTAATCATTAGCAGAAATGAATGGCCTAGATTTAATTGTTGTCACTTAATTTTCTTCTAGTGTTTTGTGGCCCCATTTTGTAAGAAAAGGTTCTAACATTCTAGCTTGTAGAGTCATTGATTTATTGCTTCTAATAACATTTGGTCAATTTTAAAACCTTGGCTCGAGTCCAGATGATGTGTTTTATTGAAAGAAGGGTATTTAAAAAAATTTTTTCTAGTAGCAATTTTCAGCACCACTGCCAGTTCTTAATGGAAGAATAGAAGGACAGCATGCTGAAGCACATCTTATTCTTGTTATATAGCATGAGATTCTTGATTTGGGCAGAAGTAATAGTGGCTGGTTACATGCTATGATTCATTTTAAGTATTTCAACACTTGACGATTTCATAGAATTAATTTGAAATATCTAGGGCTGAAAGGAAAGCATAAGATTTAGTTTGAAAATGCAATTAACTCTTGATTTGTAATGTCAGTTTTGTGGCCAGAGTAACCACTGGGACTCCTCAATCACATAGTCCATTTAGATTCTATTCCTAAATGATTACTGTAGGTTGTTCACAGAGGGACAGAATTCCTGAGCTTATGTGTAACTGCATTGTCTTTCTCGGGCCAATTATAAATTACTTTAAAAAATTCATATTGTAGATAATTGAAATTTGATTCTGCAGAGAGTCTCTATTTTGTGTCTTCTGCTCTGGACAAACTTATTTATAGGCAAAATTAAAAACAAGGAGTATTTCTTTTTGTAAGATGGAGCCATTAAAGATGTTTGCTAAGGGTTGAAGTCTTTGTTCTGTGTATTATTTCTAAAGAGTTGGTTACTCCTTTAAAAATAATTAAGAGGTTTGAGTAAAAGCATTTGGGGTCCTGGGAAGTTAGCTGCTTAAAAACTTCAGGGAAAAAGGACATTTGTAGAAATGTTAGCCTTGGCTAGGGAAAAGAATCTTCTGACAATGCATTGATATTTACTTTCACATATATGAAGATGATGCTCCTAAAACAGTTTAGTAGACACTTGGATTTGTTTTTCAAGCATTAGTAATGGAATTTTGGTATATTACTCTTGGTCTGTAGCCTCGGCTATTTTCTAATATTGTGCAGTATGAACTGTTCAGCTTCTTCTTTTTTTGTCATTTTACCTTATGCACTATTACTTGCATTACACAGAGCTTTAGGTTGAAGCTGAAACTTTTGTTTACACTATATAATTTTATCTGATTTAACTATATATTATTATTTATACATGGTAACATGATAAGTGTTCTTGTTTATGTTAGCCATGATACCTTGGAGACAATATTTTTGTCTTCCAGAGCTCTTTCTCCATAAAAAATGAATATAGGGCCAAAGCTTTTCAGTGGTCATGCTGGCTTATAAGTTTTTGGTTTAACTTTTAATGATTTTTATCCCTTGGATTGTTAAAATTTGTAAATAATAGTATCCCAATATCCTGAATATTATTAGTTTTAACTTAATAATAAATTGTAGAGTTCATGGATTTACTCTTCATAAAGCATAAATGCAGCAAAGAATAGGTCAGCATTAAGAGACCATATAAAGATGGTTTTGTGAATAGGCTTTACAAAGAATTAACACAAGTGAGCAGACTATCCCTGTTTCCAATAATCTATTTGAGAGTAAATCTCAGCATACAAAATAGGACATCAATAATTTGGAATCAGTTACTGTGTATTTTAGAGCTCTATAATAGATCAATCAAAATTGACTTAGACAAGTTTCATCCAAATATTCAGGTACAGTCATGTTAATATTTCACAGAAAACTAGCCAAAGAAAGCAAATGTATTCGGTGCCTTAGGCTGCTGATTTGTGTGTGTGTGTGTGTGTGTGTGTGTGTGTGTGTGTGCATGCGCGTGTGCGCACGCATGTGAGCTTGCGCACGCGTGCATACATACATGCACATGCACATGTGGTGTGTGTATATGTGTGCTGCTTCTTTTATCAGAGCCCTTTGTTTCTCTGATTTCTCAGAAACCAGGAATTTTTAAAAATGTATATTGCAGTTTTGTATGATACTAACATGAGATTTTTGGGTAATAGAATTTTAGAGTGGAAAGAGAATTAAAAGATTATCTCCTTAGTTTTCTAGGCAAGGAAACTAAGGTACAAGAAGCTAAGCCACTTCTTTGGTATCTATACTCCTGGCTATAAAACATCTTTATTTAACCTGAATAGATAAAAAGTGATGGTCATAGATTAATTTTTTGTTGTTGTTGCAAGTATTGGGAAAGGAGAAATGCTGTATAAACCCTTATTTTTAAGGAAACATTGCCACAACATTATTATGATTTTCATTTATAGGACTCTCCCATGAGAACACTATGTTTCAGGCTTCAATTTCTCAGAGGTATTATGTTGATTAGCTAGGGTTAACTTGCCTTGCTGAAACTTGTTTGAAATTTCCAGTTTGGCCACCCGATGGGGCACAAACCACACTTTTTTTTTTTTAAAGGCACTTCTGCAAATGAAAGTACAGTGTATTATATTTAATATAACACTTTAAGTGATTATGTCAGTGAAATACCTGGTATTTACAGATATTTTTAAATGAGAAATTTTGCAGAGATAGGAAACTATAACTGTTCTTCATTATCTTTGTGAAAAGTATGTTAGTGAGTACGGTGGTAAAATTATAATTGTCCCCCCATCCATCCTTTCAGGTCTGCTTTTGGGCCCAGATATTAAGAACCTAAGAATCTTATGTAACCTAGAGTGACCATGGAAAATTAGTCCTACTCTGGAAAGTACTTGAAAGTGGTTGGGTTGCCCTAAGTAGGAGTTTTAGGTAGATTTGAATCATAAGCCCCTAAACACTATACCCTAAGCCCCCCTGGAGCAAGAAAAGATAATATGAAAACCACTAATTTCATTTATGCATATGAAAAGCAAGAAATACAATTTTATTAATATTTAATAATTGGATTAATGTAGTATGTTTGCTAAAGAGACCACCTACCATATTCTGAGGGAAACCGGACTGCCAGTGATTTTCTTGTTTGGTTTTAGCAGTTGAGTGCCTAGTTAAATTAATGTACAAATACTATTTATTTAAAAAAAAATTAACCCTTACAACATGGATGTGATTTAGGTTTCTGTAAGATGCTGTAACAATAATACCAGAAATATAAGCATAGGTGAACAATAAGAAAATGACAGAGCTGACATCTACCTCTAGCACTAGCTTTTGATCAGCCAATTAGATAAACCAACACTTACTAGACTTGATAAATTTTCCATAATTTTCAAAATTATTAAGATAACTTTGAAATAAGATTTTACCTCTACTGTCATCCACAGTTAAATTCATCCAACTACACTTTTTTTGTGTGTGTTTTTTGGAATATATCCATTATTAAGTTGCAAATTAACTGAATCCTGAACATTGAGCTAGACTTTGAAATATTGTGATAATTTCTTATATCAAAGTCATTCCTAAGTGAAAGGTAAAAATATGTCATCCATTTTGCTTGCTTTAAGGCTTTTTTTTTTCTCCCTTAGTACTGGTATTTGAATCAAGGCCTTAGGTTTGCTCAGCTTGCTTGCTCTGGAGCTTTACTACCTGAGCCATGCTTGTAGCCTGGCATTTTGCTGGTTATTTTGGAAATAATCTTGAGGACC